CCCTTTGCATACGACTGCAATGCCAGGCGGTCGGCCAACACCTTTTTGAACTGAAGAGTTGACGGGGCGTTGGCGCGTGGCACGTCTCCACCAACAACCTTTGCAACAGATGACAAGTGGCTCCTTGATACGTGGTGCTTCTGAAGCTTGCGACGATCAAGCACAGAACGAACATTGAAATCAGCGTAGTCAGTTTGCGCTTTGGCAAGCTTGCAAATCACACACCCTGCCGCCCACGTTCCATTCACAGCACTCGATTTAAGCCAACACCCGAGCTCCGGCCGGTCATCTGCCACAAGAAACTCGTTGCGCCACTTTTTAATGTTATCCGCCACTGGCAAGGTTTCTGCCGCGTTTAATGTTCTCCCCTCCAGGCCCCCGAGACGCCCCAATATGGCTCCAGTGAAGCCGCCAGCACAGCCCAAAGAGGCCCGCATCAGCAATTTACCTTAAGTTGTTTGAATTCGAAACGCTTCGCGTAACCCCACCAGCCCATCCAGAAACGATGGCCAAAGGAGTTGCCTCAACCAGGGAAGTTGGCAGCACGCAGAAGCAGGGCCCCCCAGTGGAGGCCTCTTGGAGATTCTTGGGGGCCTCTTGGCGGTCCATGGGCGCTCTCAGACGGCCCGAGGACCCCCCGAATAGCCCCCGAGACGCCCCCGAGGCGCGGCCAAGATGCCCCACGAAGCCCTCCCAAGAACCCCTACCGAGGCCTGGCCTCCGGTAGTCCCTACATGTGCTGGGCTGGCACGGCGGCGGGACGTGCCGCAGGCAGCTGGATTGTTATATACGGCTCTGGCCACCCGGCATCGCTTCACGTTGACGTCATTTTTCTTTGTGGCTGTGTGTGGCAATGGTGATGGAGGCTTCTGTTTGGTCGGAGGTTCACAATCGTCGAACAAATCGTCCATCGCTTGGGCCAAAATGGCTACGGATCCGCTCAACGTGGGCTCCCCAGCCCCTGGGGCCATATTTTGGGGACCGCGAGGGCCCTGTGAGCTCCTCTTGGACCCCTCCTGGGCCGTCTTGGTTGGCAATCTTGCGGCCCTCTTGGCGCCTTTTTCTTGGGCCGTCTTGAGTGAGGTCGCGTTGGGGGCTTGAGCCCACAGAAGCTCGAAACCGCGGGAATGCAAAAATAATCCAACCAGCCCTTTAGGGTGTACTGTAGGTGGCGTAGGGCGTTTTGTCTTTCATCTGCCCCCTTCCCCTTCGGGGATGGGCTTGCCCCTCCCCCCGCCCCTTCCCCTGGACGTGGACGGGGCCGGTCGCGAGGCGTCAGGGTGCCCAAAACGACCTCGGCGGTGAAGCCTCAACCACTAATTCCCTACCTAGGCTCTGCCTAGAAGGGTTCTTACTCTCTGGGCTTAAAGGGGCCGGGCAGTGGAAAGCGCCCCGGGCGGTTCCCCCAGTATCCGCCCCGCGGTTCCCCCAGCCCCTTAGCTTTAGCTTTAGCTTTTGCAATAGCTTTAGTTTTAGCTTTAGTTTTAGCTTTAGCTTAGCTTTAGCTTAGCTTTAGCTTAGCTTTAGCTTAGCTTTAGCTTAGCTTTAGCTTAGCTTTAGCTCAGCTTTAGCTTAGCTTTAGCTTAGCTTCAGCTTAGCTTTAACTTAACTTTAGCTTAGCTTTAGCTTAGCTTTAGCTTAACTTGAGCTTGGCTTTAGCTTAGATGTAGCTTAGCTTTAGCTTAGCTTTAGCTTTAGCTTAGCTTTAACTTAGCTTTATCATAGCTTCAGCTTAGCTTTAGCTTAGCTTTAACTTAGCTGTAGCCTAGCTGTAGCTTAATTTTAGCTTAGCTTCAGTTTAGCTTCAGCTTAGCTTTAGCTTAGCTTAGCTGAACTTTCGTTTAGCTTTAGCTTAACTGTAGCTTAGCTTTAGCTTAGCTTTAGCTTAGCTTTAGCTTAGCTTTAGCTTATCTTTAGCTTAGCTTTAGCTTAGCTTTAGCTTAGCTTTAGCTTAGCTTTAGCTTAGCTTTAGCTTAGCTTTACCGTTACTACGAATGCTGCTTTCCTAGGGGTTCCAACTCCTAGGTAGGGTCGCACTGGGATAATTTTAAAATATGTTTGGTTCCATTTTGGTCTCTTGGGTGTTCGACCCTACTTTAAGCTAAGCTCCACTCTTGTTTGATCCATGTCCTCCGAGCCTCATCCTAGGATGCCAACTGAGGGGCCCCGGAGGCCTTTTGGAGCGTCCTGGGTGCCTCGGAGAGCCATTTGGAGCCTCTTGGGGGTCTCTTGGGAACCTCTTGGAGGCCTCTTGGGCACCTCTTGGGTCCTCCTGGGGCCTCCTTGGCACCTTTTGGGGCCCTCTTGAAGCGCTCTTGGGAGCCTTGGGAGCGCCCGTGGGAAGGGCATAACACGCAGAGGTTTGCAACCCAATCTTAGGTTGCAAGCCCCTGCCTACCAAACCTCCTCGCAAGAGGCATCAACAACCGACGATGAGGGAATCTCACGTGACAAATTGGCGGGTCCTTTCGCATCGCATCGATTACGACGAGCAATCACAATTCACAAGAAGGGGCTTGCAATGGCGTCGCCCGTCACGCCGGCTAACGGGAGCACCGCAACCTACTTGGGCGAGGCCAGAACAAAGTCGGCCTACACATTAAATTCAGACTTCAGCTGATACCAGGACGAGAGTCTCATTTCCTCCTCCCCCTCCTCTTCCTTCTCCTTATCCTCCCCCCTCCCTCCTTCCCTCACTCCCCCCCTCCCTCTGTATTTACTTCCCTCCTCCTTGTCCTCCTCCTCCTCGTCCTCATCGTTGTCCTCCTCGTCCTCTTCCTCCTCCTCCTCATCCTCGTTCTCGTCCTCCTCCTCCTCCTGCTCCTCCTCCTCCTCCTCTTCCCTTTCCTCGTCCTCCTCCTCCTCCGCCTCGTCGTCGTCCTCCTCTTCCTTCTTCTCCTCCTCCTCCCCCGCCCCTTACCTTAATCAATGGCGGCCGTCCTGAGAGGCACTGCCGGCATTGCCACGACTGCTGCTACTGTCGGAAAAGAAGGAGGGGCTGTTAGTGGCCTGGGCATCACTGTCTGAGTCAATGTCAGGCAGCGGATCCTGGGCCATCTGCCGGTGCAATTGGGGCAACACCTCGAACATCATTTTTGGCACGATCTGGTGCTGCATAGGGAATGGCACTGGCTTGGCCTTAGCAGGCAACTGAGGGGGCTGCAGGGGCAGCACCATCGCCTCCAAGTCATACAGCACATCTGGGCGGCCAACGCGGAGCTGCATAGGGAATGGCACTGGCTTCGCCGGCGGCTTGGGCGCCGGCGCGGGCAGCGCCAACAGGGCTCTGGGCTTGGCCTCCAGCGCCGGGGCAGCCTTGGCCTTCGGCGCTGGGACCGGCACTGGCGGTGGCGCGGCTGGGAGCGCCAGCAGCGCTGGCGCCGCCTTTGCCGCCAAGCGGCGAGTCCCCTGGAAACGCCCCTCGTTCGCCGCGTCAGTCTCGCCGTGCACTGCGTACGGGAACTTGCCCTGCCACAGGCGCGTCAAGCATTTGCGGCGGTAGTAGCTGAGGGGGTGCTCGGGGCAGACCGTCGCAAAGGCGCCATTGAAAGTTTCAACCATGAAAATACCACACAGGCGACAGAACAAACAACCAGGCTTGCCTTTGATGATGGTCAACTTGTGAGAGATGTCAATTCTGTCGAGGTTCCTGAGGGGTTCGTGGCGCTCGGAGGACCAAAGCGACGTCCACAACGGATTTGGGATCTGATCATCTGCGGCCATTGGCATGATACCGAAGTGTTGGCTGTGGTAGTTCAGGAACACACGCGGGGAACGAGACCGAGCGTCCGCGCGGCCTGCCATGTCTGTGGACAAGGAGACAAGAAGAGCACGCTAAAACTGCCACAACGAAAAAAAAAGAAGCCAAAACAGCTACACGATAACGCAGATAACGACAGTGCTATGGGCCCTTCGGGCCCCCCTGGGCTCTCCACGGCTGGGTGCGCTTGGAATATCAAAACAGATGCAGGAGTAAACCAATGCACGTCAAGACTTGGATTTTCTTGCGCTTCCGGAGAACCGAACGTGCGATGCGCCACGCCTTTGCCAAACCCTTGGGAAAAAAAAAGGTGATTTAGCGGCCCGTGTCGCGACGCGCGAAGCGCGATTCTTATTTTGCGTATCCCCACAGACACGAGCCCAGGCGAGCTGCCTTTCAGAGTCTCCTCAGATGTCTCTTTTGGTCGCCCCTTGGAGCGTTTTGAGGGCCTCTTGGCGGCCCAATCTTGGGTGCCTTTTCGGAGGTATCTTGGGAGCCCCTTGGGTGCATCTTGGACGCCTCTTGGGGCCTCTTGGGGCCTTGTTGATGCCCTCTTGGGAGCCTTACTTTGGGGCGCTCTTGGGGCCATCTTGGAGGAGATAGATCAAAGAACAGGAGAGCTTCAACTCTTGATGCTTCGCGTATCCCCACCAGCCCATCCAGAATTGATTGCCGGTTTTCTTGAGGCCTCTTGGAGGCTATATTGAGCCATGCTTTGCTAGAGGCTGTCGGAGGCTATATTGAGCCATGCTCGGCTATCTTG